GTGTGTGTGTGTGTGTGTGTGTGTGTGTGTGTGTGTGTGTGTGTGTGTTTTCCTCGCTGATGAATACAGGACTCATTAGAATTTCTGTCATGTCACGGCAGCGCCTGCAGCATTTTATCCACAGCCCGGCTGAGCGAGCCGTCATGTTTCCGAGCTCAGAGAGCCACTCCAGATTAAACAGTCAGAAACACTTTGCTCTGTGTCCTGGCCAGAGGTGTTTGTGATGCTAGAAAATGTTCTTCAGGTGGGAAAAAACAGCGTGAAAAAAAAGATGATGTTGCAGTTTCTGAGTAAGTACAGGACAAACTTTAAATCATATTAATTTTATGTTTTCAGTTAAATGTGGGTTTGGAGACCAGATTTTCAGTTTTATTAAGCTAAAGTTTTAGCAACTGAACCATCTTTATCACATCAGCATTATTGGGTTTAGCAAATAGATTTGAGGAGTTAGAAATATTTAGCCTGCTTTTTATCTAATCTAGTCGTTTTAGAGCAGCTTTGTTTTCTGTTCTGTTTTAGGTCTTTACTCCATTTTCTGTTTAGCTGTCTTAAGCTGTTAAACATTATTATCTATTCAAAATACAGTTGCTAACTTTGTTTCAGTGTTTTTCATCGAACAGGAAGCAGGAATGGTAATACTGAAAATGAGGATAATCAGGGATCAAACTGGGATTAAATCAACAGATCCCATTTTACTGAAGCAAACCAAAGTTCAGCGCCAGAGAAAACATGGATTCGTTTACTCCAGTCTTTACTTATTTTTTTATTTATTTTTTTTGCATGTCGATGCTTTTGCATGTTCACAATGCAAACATTATTCTGTTTCCCCTTTGAAGCCCTGTTTTTTTCCAGGAAGAAGATGCTGAGCAGCAGCACAAAGATTCTTTTATGAGACAGGTGTTTGTTGGGTTCTGCCCTGATGCATTGTGGGAGTTGGCGTCACTGTAACAGGAATGAATAAATAGTCATGAATCTTTGGAAAACTGCCCCCATTTTGTGCCCATCTGACAGCCTTCGCCAGTGATCACGGAGCTCTTGAGAGATAAAAAGTTCTCGCCGGGCTCCGTCGTTGTTATTCAGCAGCCGGCAAATGCTTTTCACAAACTGGCCTCCCGACAGCTGAGCGTGGCCTGGGTCCACACTGCTTCCAGATTACATGATGACATTTAAACTGTTTGAACAGATGCAGCAACGTGAACCTGAGCTCTGCGCGATCAGGGATTGATGAGGGAAGTGTCGGAGTGAAGACAAAACTTTGAGGTTTTTCACCGTGACACTGAGAAAATACTGCATCTGCTGAATAAATGTACTTTGAGGTACCCATCCTGCTTCAAACTTCAAAATAATTAGTTTAAGTAAATATTGCATTTATGTGTTTAGGGACGTAGGCAACTCCAACTGTGGGAAAAGTTATTAAAATGCAAATAAATCCACCTACAATGAGTTGTAAATTTCATAAACCCATAAACTAAGAAATTGTACATTTATGTGGGGGAAAAAATAAGGTAAATTTTAAAGTGTGTGTAAGATAATGTTTTACCTTTTTCTTTGGGGGAATGTTGTCCCATTCTTATCTGAAACTACCTGTTCTGGGTCTTTATTGGATTTATTTTTTATTTTTTTTTATTTTTTTGCAGAATGGGAGCAAATGTTGTTCTAAAACTTGTTTATATTATTCTGCATTGATGGTGCTTTTCCGAACCTTTAAATGTCCAGTGCCAGAGGCACTAATGCACCCCCATACCATCAGAGAGGCAGGCCTTTGAATTGTGAGCTGATATCAGGCTGGCCGGTCCTTTTCCTCGTCATTATGGAAGAGCCTGTTATTAAAATAAAACAAATTTCACATTTTGATTTTAAATAACATTCTTCTAACATTGTTGCACTTTTTCAGACGGTGTTTGGCAGGCTGCTGGAGCTCTACCCATCTGTAATTCTCTAAAAGGCTCTTTTTATCCTCAGCAGTTGTACTGAGCTGTTGCTAATTAACCTTATCTATAATTTTACAGTAAGCTAATAGTGTAATAATTTTACTTTTACAGTCTTTTGTTGCTGCTGTCCCAACATTTTGGGGTCCTTCTGCCATAGAACAAACAAAAAATGTATTTTTCTAAAAATAAATACAAAAAATGTTTTTGATTTATTTACTATGTTCTATCATTTCATTCTGTTTTTATTTACTTTTTTTAAAATTTAGCTTAGCACAAAGACAAGCTAAATTTGCTGCCTTTTAATTGAGATGAATCATTTTGTCTCAGCGTGAGGAAACAACGATCAGCGGCTGCAGGCAGCTTGTAGTCTCTGCAGTCCAGGATTATTTTTGTCCATCTTGTGTTATGAAGCAGAAAATCATCACATTTAAATGTGTCCGGTTGCGAAGGACAATTTTATTTGTTTCTTTGTGTGCTGAAAGCAGCACACGTTATCGCTATTAAAGAGGTCGATCCTGCAGACGTGTCGTTGTTCCTTACACTGCTTGTCTCTGAGAAACTGACTCGGTCCTTGTTTATTTTATTTTATTTTTTTTCTCCTCTGTCTTTCAGATAAGCTGTTTGGAAAGCGGCTGCTGCAGGCTGGGAGACACTTCATGTCTCATAAGTCTTGGATGAAAACGGTGCCCACAGAGAACTGTGATGTCCTCATGACATTTGCAGGTCAGCCTCACAAAGACACCCACAGATGTCATCATTTCTACAATATATGTCCAGGAACACCCAGTGAAATAGTGGATTCTAACGTGTGACGTCTTTATTGGTCACAAAAACAGCTGAAGTAAGACTTAGACTACGACTGGAGCTGATTCATGTTCTTTAATTTGATTGTTTTATTAATCTAAAACAGGGCTATTCAACTAAATTGCTCCGGGGGCCACATTTAATGCAGACCAACAGCTCAGGGGCCGAACATCCAGCAATTAAAGTTAGGTAAATAAACTAAGTATTACAAAGATATGTTACCTTTGAAATGGTTTATTTAGCTGTATTTAATCATGAAAACATACAGAACTTTATTTAATAAATGTAGTGATGATAAAAAAGAAACAGAAACATATTATGTCTCTTATTTACCACAAAATATTTTGACATCTCTGACTTGCCACATTTTTAAACCAATTTTATTTTCATTTTCATAGTTTTATCTTCAACTGCTTGTTGTTTTAACGGTCTTGGATGTTCATAGAAATGGGTTTTACCAGCTTGTAGCCAAGATTCTGACGTTTCTGTAGACACCAAACATGTCTAGGTTTAACTAAAATAATTTAGAGTAATTAAAGTAGAAAACAGGGGGTTTGGGCTTAAGAGATGAGTGAACCAATTGGCGGGCCAAACTTTGGTCACTCCGGCCCGCGGGCCGCCAGTTGAATAGCCCTGATCTAAAACAAGAGGAGAAAGGAGGCTCAAAGTATAACAGACTTCAAATCTACACTTTCTTTGTTAAGGTTTTGTTGTTTTTATTTGATGTGTTCAGTCAAGTGTAAACAGAAAAGGCAGAGTGACATTCAGTAAATGTCCTGGAGTTAGAGATAAACTCTGACCTGGAACAAAAAGGATTCAGTTCGTGGCCTGAGTGTCGACACACTCTCAGAAAAAAGTACATAATTTTTCTAGTTATTTGCAGCAAAAGAAGACAAAAATAAAAGTTATTCTAAACTTATAGCTACTTTTCAGGAATAAATAGTTAATATGAGGATCTGAGTGTTTTTATTTTGTCCCCACAGACACTACGGATGACCACACGTTATTATGGTTACTGAACCACATACGGCTGGGAATCCCGGAGCTYATTATTCAAATCCGACATCATAAGCACACCGGAGTCTACGCGTTCTTCGTCACAGCTACGTACGAAAAGTAAGAAACCCCATCAGAGGCAAGCTTTTAAAGAGATTAACCTGTAATCTCTTTAAAACTGTAAATCTTCAGCAAATAGAATTGAAAAAAAAAAAACTTTTTTGAATCCCTCAACAGGGAAAGTAATATTTAAAAATTTTCAATTCATCTGTTGGATATTTTGTGGTTGGTTAACAGAATTTTAAATACAGTTTTACATCTTATACTTAGCAGTTGGTTGCATTGATTTACTTTAAACAGTAAGATATTCAACAAGTCTCTTTTTAATATGTGCCTTGTTCTGGCAGGGTAAACATAAAATAATTAAATTCCTGCTTTCCAATTCTGACATGAGAGGGACCACCCCCAGGAGGTTTGACCAGGGTTCCTATAAACCAGAGGAGCCCAAAGTGGGGCCCGTGGGCCAAATTTGGCCCGCCAAGCCATTTGATTTGGCCCACCGACAGTTGCCAAAGTTACAAGGTTGTAACCTGTTATCCTATAGGTAGAAACACAGTATTTCCATTGGTCAAATGACTATATAAAAGCGCTGTAGTGAAGGTAGTTTTCAGTCATGGTGCTGACTTTAGCTTTGATTTATTAGGATTAAACATGAAATGACAACAAGAAATATTTAGATCAGATTTAACCCCGCATATAGATTTGCACACTTTATAAGGCCTCAAAAACTCATATTTTATCTATTTATGAAATGTCCCATGAGCCTTTGCTACTTGAGCGTATGGCAGACTTTCTCCAAGTGCACAGACTAAAACAAAAGCTTAATGGTTAAAAATAATGGACTTTACTTTAAAAAAGTATTTGTATTTCATGTATTATATAACTGCATTTGGCCCACAGCCATGGAGAGATTTTCATTTTGGCCCCCTTGGGGAGAATGTTTGGGTGCCCCTGCTCTAAACGATGGTTTGAACATGTGATCTGGAGCCATTTTGGKTTAGAACCTGAATCCACAGAAAGGCTTAGAGTGAAATGTTTTCTTTAGATCTGAAGATAAACRTTTAACTGAGAATTTTATCGGTTGTCTGCTTATTATTTGGGCTACCAGTATGAGCAATTCTTTACAAACACCAATAAGATAATTAGTCCCTTAAAATGCCTGTGACGTCAAATTTATGTCATAAATATGAATGCATTTTTGGTCAAATAACATTGATAATATAATGCAAAAAAAATGTCATGCCGCTGATATGAACAGATTTTGAGATAAACACGTGAAGTAACAGAAAGGGGAATGTCTGCATATAAAGAGCATTGCTACAGTAATTAACAGCGCAGTCTTTAGAGAAGAACCTCATGTTTCTTTAGATTATTTAGAGAGATGAGGAATCAAAATTCAAATATTTGAATAAACAAAGATCAAAGAGTTCCCCTTTGATGTCACTTCCTGTTTCACTTTGGYTGAGCCAAGTTCAAAAGAAAATATGCCAGTTATGGGACAAAATGGGTAAAATCATATGTATTATGCCAAGTTTCTTAACTATAAAGATGTTTTCTTTGACTTTTTGTGTTTGAAGGAAATGCATGTCACAGGCCCTTTAAATGAKAAGTGGCAAAGTAGCAAATATTTGCATAGTTTCCCAACACTGTGCAGCATTCATATAAGCTAAAAAAAATTTTTTTGATGAATTATATCTGCACTTTTCAGCTGAACAACACTCCAAACTTTCTGTACAGCCTGTCAGATTGACTGTAATGACACGTTACGGGTGGTGCTGTTTAAACTGTGTCTGTATGAAATAATCACCTCATCACCCCGGGCAGAGTTTAGGCAAGAAGACACAGCTGCAACGTTTCTCTGCGTACACTCTAATAAGAAAAGAAAAAAAAAAAGGCTCATGAATAATACAACAAATCATGTCTGTCTTAAAGAGTTGGAGTTATTTTTAAATGCTGCTATCACGTTTGGGATGTAAATGACAAATACATTAACATTTTGTTTTTAGCTGCTGCTGCAGTGGGTCCAGCAGTTTGCTTCCTACAGGATGAACCATTTGTGAGGCTGTCTGCTACATTCCTCTGCTTCTTGCTGCAGGACTGCAGATTTAATTAAAGATTTATCTTTTTCCAAAGTCCAGCCAAGTTGTTTGGATTGTAGTCACTCTTATTTTGCTGCCCGGTGCAGCCTCTTGTTTTGAAACAATCAGGAGAGCTGGAAATGAGCCCAGCGTCATTTTAATCTCACAGGAAAAAAAAAAAAAAAAAAATAAGTAGCTGATCTGTCCATCACTTCTCTCCTTGTTAAATGTTAAGCTCTGTTTGCTGACTGGACATTTAAAATTGTACCTTTCCAATAGAAACTTTACTGGTTATGAAAGTTGAATTAGAGCAAATATATTATCAGAATGAAATTAAAAAAAAAGAAAAGAGAAAGCAGTTAAAATGAGGTGATTTTGTTGAGGGGCGGGGTAAATAAACAAGAGTAACTTCTAGAAGTATGCCAGTGGGTTTTAGTTAAAATGCTGAAGGAAACTGATTGCTGTCTGACCCAGTTGCTGTCAGAACAAACACTAAAACATGCTCTCAGGTAGGTTGACCTACATCTTATGAGACGGAGACATTAACCCAGAAAATACTCCTTTTTTCCTGTCTTCACCTTGGAAGGTCAKGCAGGATATTCCTCTCAGTCCCTGCACTGATTTTTCTGCAAATGTGCCATCAAATACATGTCAGGTTGTTTTGATAGTTCTAAACTTACTGGCATTTTTCACGTTAAAATTTGAACTGAAATGATTATAAAGTCTTTGACTAATTCTTCACGACTCACGTCTTCATCATGGCAGAAGGCTCAGTAAGTCTTATAGCGTCAGGAGCAGTTTGCCGTTTATTTGGTCTCACAAGCAGTGGCGGAGCTGGGGTTTTTAAAAGTAAGTTAGAGCAAAGGCCCTGCCACACTCTAACGTTTTAGACAACTTATGCCAACTTATGAAAAGTTTTAAAGACTTCTACAGTAAAGACAGAATTTAAAAAATCAACTGGAATGCCTACTGTGATGATAATAATTTAATTAAATATACTAATATTAATAATAATGCTTTTTATTTGTTAGTGCCTTTCAAGACACCCAAGGACACTTTACAACATTAAAAACATCATTTTAATAACAATGAAATGGCTATAAAAATTGTAAAATCAAAAAGAAAATAGCTTAAAAAATTAAAGTGAGAAGGCTAACTTGAACAGATGAGTTTTGAGTTGTGCTTTGAAGGTAAGAAGAGAGTCAATGGACCTCATGCAAGAACATGTTCGTATTCTTATCCTAAATTTCTCTTACTTTTGTTCGTACAAAGGGTTCGTACGAACA